ATTTATATTTATATTTATTTATAATTAAATTAACATTAACGTAAATATTTCAAAATTAGTAAATTTGAGTGATTTAAAAGATGTTTATTAATAATTTTATTAACGAAATTTGTTAATATCTATTTTATGAATTACCATGTGCTTAATTCTAAGTTACATTAATAAAATCAGCTAAATGAATTTATCATTTATTACTAAATTTCAAATATTTATTGCCGATTACAAAATACAAATTACAAAATGTTTATTAAACTCCTTCAAAGGAACTAAATATTGAAAATATTAATGCATATATGATTCCAAAAATATTTTTACAACAACAAATAAGAAAAACTGGACCAACAAAATTATTTACTTTTAGGTTTTTTTTGTTATCATAATTGGTAACAAATTATAAAATCATATCTTCGGCTTACATACATATTTTATTATTATGCGTTTCTTTGAAAAAGTTCAATCAGTTTATTTTTAAATGTATAATTCTATATATTAATGTATAAAATAAATTATTTTCCAAATATTATAAAATTCTTTGAGTGAGTAAAAAATAATAATTAAGTAAACGCTTAATTAAGGCTATACATTATTTTATAATTTCTTCGTTATTATTATTCATAATTTTTTTTATGTATAATAAAGATATTATTTTAATGCTATTAATTTAAATATTTTCTAAGTCTAGTTTTCTTTATAAAAGAAAACTGTGTGTCTTATTTATACTATCATAATTTTAATCATCCAAAAATGTAAATTTATTAAATGTTTAGTGTAAATAAATGAAATTTTATATTTTATATTTATTTTATTTTTAAAATGTTATAAATAAATTTTACTTATTCATTAATTTGTAAAATGATAAAAAATATAATATCATGATTTTTTACATTACGATCTGTAAATTCTAATTATGATGTAATTAGTATAATCAACAATAACACGTGTTCATTAATAGAAAACACTCCAATTTTTTATAATCAAACCTATTAAATAAATTAATTATAAGTTTGAAAAATTTCATTAAAAAATCATAAAATAGATATTACATGAAGTTAAATTTATCTTTAACGATGAATCAAATTAAAGTTATTCAGAAAAATAATATTAAATAATAAATAAATATACCTATCAACTTAACTAAATAAATTATATTTTTCCTTTATAAGTAATTATATACTTAAAATTTACTTAACATAATAGATATTCTGTTAAGATCTGTTCATTTTTCATTGTAATTATTTACTATTGAATAGTTACAACTTTGTTTAAATAGATAAAACTTTTTATAATAATATTACTTTATTTTACCCAAGTAAAACTTTGAAGGTAATTTAAAATGTAAGTATAATTAAGGGCATCAGAAATTACTGATATTGTTTACACTGATGCTCATTTATAAAGATATTTATAAATTATTTAATTATCTTACTAAAAATGTTTTTCAAGTAATCCATGTGTATATTATTATTATAAAACTTATTATATAGAAAACTAAAAGGACTAGATAAATCAAGGATTTTATGTTCCAATATTTACTATTCGAACAAAGTTAAGCCAAGTAAAATTTAACTAAACTTGTAAACAGATATTTCTTTACATAATCGAACTGTGATACATGTCCTGCCTACCTATTTCTTTTTCTTGATCATTCTTTCTTTTTTTCCGAACACAGAGTAATAATTGGGGCATAACGAGCGACGAAGCACTACCATATCACCGCAAGTAAATGCACGGTTGAAGGCTTTTCTTATTCGACCTAATAATACATTGAGCGTACATATATATGAGCAAAGAGGAATAAAATCTACGAATTGTCAATTTGTCAAGTAAAATACCGGGCGAAAAGTATGAACAAAATAAAGAATGATTATTTGTATGACAAATGAAAAGGAAGAAAGATAGTAGAAACGAAAGTTATTGATTATATCTATAACAAAATGAAGAAAATATTTTGTTTAAAAAGAATTTATATACGAAGAAGCTAATGTAAGTGTGAATTTATCACCTGTTTGTCGTGTGACTTAAAGACTTAAAATTATTTAAAGTATTAAAATTAACTATGACATGATTAATTAGAATAATATTTTTTATTAAGATTGCTATGAAATTAAAATATTGCATGATTTTTTAAATGAAACTTATTGGAGTATAAAAATTTAATTATAAGTCATTAAATTGAAAAAGTACTCTTTTAAACTATGTAGAAATCAATTATTTAGCGAAGACTTTTTTATGATATTTATATGTTAAATTTAACATACTTTTATTAATAATAATTAAATGAATTTAATTAATATTAAATAGTTTAAAAAATGTGGTATAATATTACACACTATTAAATGAAATTTTCGAAAAAACGATAAGATTTTTAAATTATAGCTTTACATAATTAGTATTAAATGATCAGTATTAAATGATGTAATAATGTAGTGAAGATGTCTGAATTGCATATAATTCATTGAAATGTTATGTATCATGTATATCACATATAAAATAATTTTTCCTGAAATTTTTAATTTTTATAATAGATACTACTGATCAGATTTCCATTAATTATTTATTAAAATTTTACAACTTTTTATATAATCGTCTCGTGATTATATATATATATATATATATATATATATATATATTAAATTACCAAGTAAACATTAGGTATTTAAATCTTCTAACACTGTGGTTAAATAAATATATATTCATTAAGACGGAAACTGTGTCAAGATTCTTTATAAATTTATATTTTGTCTGATGAACAATTGAAACAAAGATAACCATTTTTTAAAATTCTCAATATTTTTTGAGAAATATTTTATTCAAAAATTTTTTTATTACTCATACATAATTTTTATATTCATCTTAATATCGATAGTTCTAGTAATTAGTTGAATAAATATTACTTTATACTGTAATGAATATTTAATAAAAAAATACAATTATAAAAATCAGCATGGTTATATAATAATATACTAATATAGAGAATGTTAGCCAACTCAGTATAATGTACTTCAATTTTATGATTTTCAGTTATCGAAACTAATGCTTACACCTAGGCAATATCGCAGGATCAAAATTAACAATAAAAGAGACAAATGTGTTACTAATCGAAATGAAAAGGGGTTATAAGTGTATCAGTGGCTCGTATTCGATTGCCTAAATTTTTTTTACTCTGCCTATCACTTGAAATCTGCATATATAGACGTACGGATTAAAAAAAGAGCATAAGCTACAAACTATCAAATGACCTAAAAATAATACAAAACAGACGTGGATCTCCGGAACATTATATTGTCCAAACAGAATTGTTTTGAATACATGTTCCATTTAATACTACGTTGACGCTTGACTTCTTCAATCACAGCTTATTCAATAAAAATATTTATCTGTATTTTGATAATTATTAAATGAGCTTATTATCATGTTATTTTTTATTTTAGTCTTAAAGTATGTACATTACGTTTTTCATACTCTGATACTCAAGCTTGTAGTTAATATTATTGGAAATTTCAAAAAAATGTTGCTAATCTACAATTTGTCAGAAGTTATTGTTATAAAATAATGATACTACAATCGTATATCTCTAAAGTATATATAAATTTCTGAAGCTGCAATATTAGATTGTGGAATTGCTAAATACAATTAGACTTTGCTAGTAGTTCAAAAATTTTTGCAAATATTTATTTTTATTTAATTGCATTACAGATCTATTGTAAATCTTAACCTTAAATTTTAGTAATTCTAACTCAAATTTAGTATTAACTTCAAAATATTTTCGTAACCTGTAACAGAAAAATGAGTTTTTCTTTTTATTCATGAATTGAAACATAGCTTTTCCAATTCAAACAATTGTAATCACCTCAATAAAAGGAAAGTTGAAAGTCAAAGAGATATCGAAATCGAAAAGATTAAGTTGAAAAGAGCGAAAGAGGTAACTTCCACAGTAGCGGTGAGTAAGTACACAAGAATGAAATAAAATATTCTCTCATTAACTAGAAGTTTTTCTGAACCCAGTGCACTAGTTTGAGTATGCCCCAGGTGTGCTCGGAATTTCTCTTTTTGGTTCGAATCGAAGTAGACATCTAGATGTTTATGCACTCACTTTAGAAAATGGAATTCTAATTGCCTCGGTTATAATGCATCTAAACTTTTAATATATACCATATACTAAAAAGTTTTGAAAGATTTGTGGATAAAATTTGTAGTTTATAACACATAACGAAAGCGTTTTATTTAACGGAGTTATTCATATTTATCGAAAGATAATCACAAGATTATAATCGAATTTTTTCAGACTAACTTTAATAAATTGAAAGTCAATAATATCAATTAATCTTCTTTAATCAATAATTCTTCTTTAATATCAATAACGTCTTTAATCATTAATTAAATATATGTCTGTATATGTAAATTAATGAAAAAGAATGCTTCAAATACAATATTTCAATTTATTAATGTAAATAAATAAATTCTTAAATATTCGATGTAAATTCATCAAATTTATAAATAATTATAGAATTATTAATATACTTGAATCATGAATAAGCAATACATATACAGAGATGAAATCACTTTCATCTCGTCAGCTTATTTCTCTGGAATTCCGTACTTTCCAATAAATTCATGATTTCAAATCAAATAAATCTTACAATTCTATCGTATGTAATTTTTATGTGCAAATCAAGCACTATGTAGCAATACATTAGATTACATTAGGTCTTTTAAAACTTAAAATAAAATTATTTCATAAATAGGTTAAAAATTAACATTGAATAAGCGTATTTACATAATGATTTTTATTTCTTTGCATATACGAACAATAAATTTCTATGAATTAAAATTTAATTAGCTAAATAGTATTTTTTAAGGCTGCGCTGTTGTGGAATATAGTATTTAAGTATTGAAATATAGAGCCAAGCCCAAGTTCAAGTCCAAATTCGTAATGGGAATTCAGCCAGGCTCATTTAGCTTGTAAAAAGGAGAGAGAGATACACGTTGACATTACTTACCAAATAAAAGTCAATGGGCTTTTCACGTGCCTTGCTGTATCCCTTTTGTAGCTCAGTTTGCTTAAGGGCATGGGCAATGTGAAGTGCACTAGCGTCAAAACGCCCATACTGATACCACCCCTCAGTGTTAAAGTTGTGGTTACAGGGCGAAGAGATGCCGGCTCCGGGGCCGTGACCATCTCGATGAGAGCCGCCTCCCGGAGATGTTATTCCGTGGCCATTTAATTGGCGCCCATGACCCGACGAATCCGCATTGTCGTAGCTAAAAAGAATCGTCAATATCTTGTAGGTCACATTATACGTAATTCTCCAACTTTTCGGGTAATTATTTTAATTAGTGCCAACATAGATTTTTTTTTATTATTATAATTCAACTAACATTATATTGGAATAATATTTTATTTATTGTTAGTATAAAATATTTCCTATGACATTTAAATAGTATGATATTTAATTTTAAATCTTTTATAAGAGCAATTAAATACCAAGAAAAAACTTCAAATACGCTTTAATGTATTGAAAATTGTATATATTCATATTAAATTAGAAAAATTAGTATTAATAAATTATATTTTTTATTATATAAATATTATTAATGCTATGATTATTAACATTATTAAATATAATTATTGAATTCATATATTGAAATTATAAATTAAATAAATAATGTTGGCAATGCATAAATAATGGATAAGATTATCAGTGCTATTCCATTAGAGTAAACATAAGATTTTAAGGAAAACAATTATGAGTGAAGAAGTAGATAAAGAAACAGAAAAAATGTGTGAAAGAAAATTTAAGGAAAAAATGTATATGTGCGAGAATATGAGTACATGCTCATGCATACACGCGTAAATGATACAAGTCAGTACAGTTTAATTTAACAAGGTACAAAATATGAAGTGGTATTTTGATATGGGATTTTTATTTTTATATGGGACTTTAATTACGTTTAAATTATTAACTTTGTGAAAATTAATTAATTAAAATAATATTAAGAAAAATAGATCTACAATCAAGTATATTCTATAAAAATAAAATTGATAAAACTTAAACAAAATTTTTTTAAACAAGTTTATATTTATATCAAATATCCTAATTAATAATAATTTTTTGCAGTTACCATATCCATCCTAAACTTCATATACAAAAATACATGATATATATAGCTTTTAAATTAATTAAATATTTAAACATTCCTCAATTGTAATTGTACAAATGTGAATTAAAGTGTAAATAATTAACATTTAAGTTTTTATTAAATTAATTTATGTGACAGTTCTTTCTCACCAATGTGAATATATAGGTCGAGGTGACCCCCCTGCTCTAATTTGCTCATTGACATATCCGCTTCTTGGTACGTTGAGTGCGCTCCTGATTCCAACACTAGAACCATCTAGCGTTCCTGGTCCAGGCTTCGGTACGTGGCTACTGCAATAAACCTCCTTATCATTGATCGTATGTTGATTATTATAGTATGTTTTTAGGGTAAGCTTTGTTCCGCATATCGCGCACTTGAAACATCCTGAGTGGAAGAACGTGAAGTCCTTGAGAGGGCCGACTCGATCGACCTGGTAGACAGTTTGCTGACAGCGCAAACAGGAACTCTCGTAGAAATTCGGACGATACATGATTTTTGATTGTCACAAGTATTTGTACTCCAAGTTGATGGCTGTTTAAATATTTTAATATCTTAATTTGAAAACTTTATATATAATCTATATATATATATATATATATATATTTTTTTTTTTTTTTTAAGGTAGCAAGGCTTAAGTCTACAAATTCTATAAAATTAAGTCTACAAAAAATTGCTTATTACTAATGAGAATATTAAAAAAAAAAAAAAAAAAAAAATTGGTAAAAAAATTGTTGATATAAACTTAATTTATTTTATTTATATTGAAATTAAATTTCTAATCGTGGTATTTCAGCGTAAAGTATATTAACACTAATATTTCAATTTTACGTATTAAAATAGTAATAGTATTTGTAAAGATCATTTATACTAATATGATGAAATTTAGTATCATTGCATCATTTTATAAATTTTATATTAATTATAATATTTAGCACTTATACTGTGCGAGCTCTTTTGCTAAAACAAACGATGTTTAATATCAAGAAAATATAATGAAAAATTTTTTTGATATTAAAGAATTTTTAATACAATCAATCAACATTGATTTTCATACAGTGTATTATATTGCTTACATAATTTGATAAAATAAAGAAAAAGATATATTTTATTATTTTATTGTTCGAGTTATTACGTCAATGAATTCTATTCGATAGTCTACAAGTTTTTATACATTCAGAATCAGAATATTTATGTACATCAATTTTTACCAAACTTTGATTTACCAAATCTTCAGATATTATTTTCTTCCTCTTGCGCAACCTTTTCGATTTGCCGAAACTGAAAAATTGCCGAACTTTTTTTCAGCTGCTTACGTACTCGTTTGATAAATATGTTACTGATTCCTCATTGTAGCCCCTTTCATCCTCTTTGTAAGTCTACGTTGAAGTGATTCGGCAAATCTGACATTTTTTCGTACAGCAAAGTTAGAATAATACATGAATGTGAAATTACTTATTATAAATAGATTCTGATAAATAGATTTTAACTTTGTTAATTGAGTAACGATTGCTTACATCAATTGATTATTTCAATGAACTTAGTAAATCACCTATATAAATAATAATTATATACTTATATAATTGTTTTTTATTTTTTAATATATTTATTTATTAAAACATTCCAACATTTTTGATATTATTATAAAAATATAAAACAGTCAATGTGTTATAATTGTAGGTTCCCTATCTATTACACTGAATGTTGATTTCATTATTCAACTCTTAATTAATTATAAGTTTAGGAGTATGTTTGCTACTTTATAAATTGCTATAAAAATTTCAATAGTTTCTGGTCGTTTATTGAAATACGTTGATATAATATTTCATTATTGTATTCAATCTTTATATTATTCTTTTATTATGTGATATCAAAGTGAATTTATAATAATTTTTATTTATAAAATTCAAGAATAATTATATGAATAAAATATGTAAGGTTTAATAATAATTATTAAAAAAATACCATTTGTGTAATTGATTACTATTTTAATTTATTTTACAATAGCTCCGTTCTGTATATGCGCGTGATAAAATAAAAGTAGTTCAATGATTGCATAATCATTTAATTAGAACTTTCGCTATTGTAATGTATAAAACTGTTTTAGAATATTATTTAATTTAATTCATTAAATAATTGAATTGAAATTTGAATAATTAACAACAAAAGAGTATATTTTAAAATTGAATTTGAATTTAACACAGAAAAATAAAATGTTTGATACAAATGAATTTTTTATATATCATAATTATATACTCTAGTTATTATGTTCACTTCGATTTGCTAATCAATTTTTATATTTAGTTTGAGCTTCAATTTAATAAAAGTAAATATTAATTTTCATGAGCGTACAAAATTTGTTGCAATACTTAAGATAATAAAAGAAATGAAATTGACATTGATGAAAAGAAATGCCTTATAAAATTTTCTCTATTAAGTCGATTTACCGTACAGAAAGCATTACATTATATATATTACACCATTGGTCTCAAGAAGTGAAGTCGCTGTGGAATTGTTCAAAATTTCAATATTTTGTTTAATTAATAATTTATTATTTTGAACAAGAGATCAAATTAGTATTTTTTAATAACAAAATATTTAACAAAAATATATATTTGGTTAATCGAATGACATATTTTTTAATAAATACTATTATATAAAATATAGTAATATAGTATAAGTTAATTATAATATAATATCTATTATAATAATCAGCAATAGATTGAATAACTATTTTTCTTATTATTGTGTTATTGTAACTATTATTAAAGTCCTCCATTTAGTATCTCGATATACTACATTTTAACTTAATATTAATAAATTTTAGCCTAATATACTTAATATTCTTACAAATAATCAAATTATAAAATATAAAATATAAAATTTAATAAATAATTGCGTTATAAAATATATATATATTAAAAGCAGGATTTAAAATATATGAGTTGGCTTATATTCTGTTTCTCGTTGGTAGGAGCAACACACAAGAACGATCGCAAAAACGATTCTTACATGGAATCGAATACATTAGAACACAGATCAAGACTATGCAGTACGAGGTCTTATCGACGTGTGCGTCTACGGTTCGCAAGCAACAACGCACCCACCTAAATCGAAGTTTACATTCTTTCGACACACCCTTGTTCTTCCGCTCTTCTGTTCGATATATCTAAAAATGAATAATCATGATGCTTTTATCATCCACCTGATCAAGGCGATTCATATAATCTTGCTATTTTCATTATTTATTGCTCATTATCGATTTCAGTATACATTCCTCCGATCATTCTCCGAAAATCATTGATACAAAAACTAAACTTTCTAGCGAATTTAGTCGGAATTTAGTCTAAAATATTTCAGTGGTCAATAGAAACATTTAGGTAATACATTTTATTTGAAACTGATATAATTTTTGAATTCTATTTCTTTAAAGACATGATTAAAGACAAAAACACATTTTGTAATTTGATTGAATTATTTTTTAAATATCTTATTTGAATTATAATCCATTATGGAACTAAATCCTACTATAGTTTGGACGATAAATGTACAATAAAATAAGTAAGTTACATAGTATAATTTATCGGTGGAGCCTTCACAAATCAATTTGAAATAATAGATTTAACTGTAAGTAATAAATAAACAACAAATTGTTGTACTATAAGTTTTACATTATTAATTCTCTGATATCTTTCCTAAATTAGAAATCTTTTATTATTTACATAAAAAAAATTGCAATAGATAGTTCGTTTTATTCATAATAGATTCTAATTGAATATATTTAATTTTTGTTATTTCATCAATTATAAATCAATAAAATTAAGTAGAGTTATATAATTGTTACGAAATTCAAACCAACACAATCAACTTCACTTGTATTAAAACGTTCTAAAAATCATTATCGATTGAAATTTAAACAATTTAAATTAAATCAAATTAAATGCATTTTTAATTATAAACTTTCCCTCTATTTACATTCAATTTCGTAACATTTAAGCAGTGCATTTATTTATATTTTTTAATGAATTAAATACAATATTATAGATATTTTATAAAATTTCTATGTTGATTTAAATATATAATTAAATGCAATATTATTTGAATATGATAAATAAATTACAGAGAAGGTATTATAAAAAAAATTATATTTTAATTAACGTTCATAAAAAACTTTATTAGTTAATAAATATTACTCTATTATAAAAATTTTTATTTGTAACATTTAACGAATGATGAACCGTAAAAATTAAAATTACTCGACAAACGAAATAGTATTCAAGGTACAAATGTTATTTTTTACATTATTAAATAGAACTAATTTCAATCATTAAATATTTGTCATCTTAGCTATTTTGAGATTGTCTATTTTTAGTCTATTAATACTATATCAGTAGCTCAAGACATATTAATTATATAAAATGTCAAACCCTGTGAACATACTTAATTGAATATTATACTAAGAATTTTACAATAACGTTTAGTTAATTTTTATATCGTTAATTTTTCTGTTATAAATATCTTTATTATATATAAAACATTGTTATACTTTAGTACTTGTTAAAAAACTATCTAAAACATTTATTACTTTATATTTATATATATTAACTAAAAACTAATAAAAATATTATTTTCACACAAAAAGTAGTTGTGATTTTAATACACAATGTAATTTTTAATAATGCATAAATGTTTATAAAATACTATGAATAAATTGGAGCAAGTAATAATGTTTTATTTAACAAATTATAAATACATAAAGGTAAAAGAAGTATTTAAGGTAAAATATATATAGATTCAAAAAACTAAATCGTGTCACTACAATTTTTTTACATGCATCTCAGAACGAAGGAAGATATTTATGCATAAACCAAAATGGGATAAGATATAAGGCACAAAAATAGAAATAGTCTGTTTTCTTTAATATAAATCAGACAAGCGCAATGCTTGCATTATTCTGCATATGTATGAAAGATTTTCACAAGAGATTCTTCGTTTCCATATGCAATGGATTTACGCGCGAGTTTATTTTTCGCTAAATATGCGCTGTAAAATAGTCAAGGCAGAGGCTGTTGGGAGCCTTAGTAGCGACCAAATTCAGAATACATCGACACGTAAGTACCGAGTATACGAACACGCACTTAATTGAATGGCCGGCTTAGGAAGCCGATTAAGTCTGAATCTTTAATTAATGATTAATTAGTCATTGTGAGAATATCCATCAACGTATGTAATCCAGACTTAATTTAATTTGTCTTTATTTTGTGTATACTGTCGGATCTCTATTAGAATTGAATTTCCAGTTTAAGTGCTGTGTTAACATTACAATTTTGCGAAAAGTTTTGAAAATATTTAACTTGAAAGTTTTCAAATATATTTTTAATTTATCTACAGTTTACAGGTGACTCTCTATTCAATTTAATACTGTTATTATTTAATTATCAATCTTAAAAATAGTATGCTTCTTAGCAAAAGTTTTTATGCAATCATTTAAAACAATTATTCATCAATTATATTATGGATGGATTTTTTTATATAATTTGTATTAAATATAGATCGATAAAATTAATTTTGATTTATAAGGTACATTTGAGAAATGTAGAGACAAACGCGTGCAGTTATACTATTTTTTTTATTAATTATTATATATTTCATAAAATATGCTGAACCTTCAAATATAACTTATAGATTAAACGCTATTTACAATGTGAGACAAAAATAACCTATACAGGATGTGAACAGGTAAAAATGTAAATAGATACGTACTCAGTACAAGAAGCATCACCTTACTTTATCGAATTTGCACCTCATCACATTTTATATCGTTGATTCTTGAACTTTAATGAGTTTTTTCATAGCTTTCTCTTTATTCATATTGTAATTTTTTTTCAAAATTACTGACTTACCTTTAAATATTTCGTTTAAATTAACATTATTTATCTCATATTTTATAAAAATATGCTAAATTTACAATTATACAAAGAAATTATTATATAATTACAAACTAAATATGTTTATATATTTATTAGTCTTTATAACTCCATTAATTTCCATTATAATTTTTTTATAAATAATGTATCAATAAGCAATTTAAGATTATAAGTTATTTGTTATGAATATTAATATTTAAAAAAAAATAAAAAATTCAATAAAGTTGTAATTAAATATGAATACAAGTCTTTAATCTGAAATTGCAAAGGACAAAAGGTAATCACAAAACTTTTAAAGATATTAATAAGAATATAACAATACATAAGTAATATAGTAAAAAAATACAAGTGTCAATGTTTTATATACATTTAAAAATTTTTGCTGTAAAACTTTATGGTATTTAAAATTTTTTAAAAATATTTAAAAAAAATTTATTATTATCAGTTTTTTTCGGGATTTATTTAAAAACTTACTTATTTAATGAGTTTATTTATTTAGTATTTGAATTAATGTAGTTATTTCGTGCAATTTCATAGAATGTAATAAATTCATTTGTTATAAAAGAACTATTAGCAAAATAATGAAAATACATATTCCTATATACATATTCCATATTACTATAATATATATATTATATATATTATAGTAATGTAATCTTTTTAATGTTTATTTAAAAAATACATATTGATTTATATATAAGATTAAATACAAATTGTCGTTAAAAAATAAAAATACTTCCTTATTTCTTTTCTAAATATAATTTATCTAACTATATCATGAAGTATAACATTTTATTCAATACAGTTTATATATTATTGAAGAAATTAACATTTTACTTAAAAGAATATAAAATTAATATAAATAAATATAATATAAAAGAATATAAATAAATAAATATGGCACGACTTTTTAGCATTACATTAGATCATGACTTACAGTAATTTCAAAATAATACAAATAATTTATTTACTCAATGTTTATAACATTTTATTTTTTAATGTGTTTCTTTAATAGATATTTTAAAAGTATTAAAACACAATTTTATTATTTGTATATGCCAGTAGAAAACGTATAGTGCAATTAAAAATTTATTAATTTATTTAGTTTTACTTATTGCAAAATAAGTACGGTATTTTAAAAAATCTTTAAAAACTGATAACAACTATATAAAAGGAAAGTATATACATTTATTTGATGGATCTCAGCATTTCTATAAAATAAAGTAGAGATTGTTTGCAAAAAGATAAAGAAACGAGTTTAGTAAAAGAAAGAGAGAGAAGGGAGAAATTTTTATGCCTGAGATTATAAATATTTAAACAGCATTGCCGATTTTACCTACATATCTGTAATCTGTAATAAAAATCTGTAATACAGCATAAGCATTCTTTACATTACATCTTCGTTTAAAGTGTATAGAATTAACCGTTTGAGCAGTAAATTCATAAGTTAGTAATATACCAAGATATATTTACTAAAATAATTAAAATAATTTAAAAAATTAGTTTAATACTATGCTTCATATTAATAATACTATTGACTAAGATGACAATACTCATACTATTGTAAATTTTACATCTTAAATATTACATAAGTGTAATATTGTTAATTAATTCATTATTATTATTTAATATTAATATTCTGTAGAAATATTTTAAAATAATTTATTTGTATAATAATAGAAATATGAACTTCATAAAACTTTATCAAAATTATGATTTTGGTGGGTAATTATTCAATGACTATGACATTGCTAAGACAACGGTTAATGATGTCAGAATTTCAATAAATTTTAAGCAGTCAACATGATTTAATTTTTATAATGTCATCTGTAATTAAAGCATAAACTGTTTAAAAATTGTTAGAATATTATAATAGTTCTCTAAAAATTCATGCAATTGATTTTCTATTCGTTTCATTTAAAAGAATATAAATTTTTAACTATTACTTTTATTTATAATCAAACCTTGTAAAATTATAAATTATAGGAGAAAATCCAATATCTATAATATTATATTGATTAATAAATATCAAATTTAATAATAATGTCATTATATTTATTCTTTATATAATTTTAATAACAAGAAAAGAAATACTCATGTATCTAATAAATGTTTCTATTTCATTTTTTATTTTTATAAATAATTAGAAAGTATAAAAATTCTCCAGGAATCTCACACATGTGTTAAAAGAGTGTAAAAAAAAACATGGACTTAAACACTTGTCTAATCACCTCGAATCCAAAAACGATATATAACTCATGACTCACTCGATAAACCTTCTCTTGAATCTTCTCGATCTCTCGACCAAAAAAGTCCTCTTCCTTTACTTCGTCTGTTTCTCTTCTACTGCGAAGTATATCCTCTGACACGATTTCTTTAACAAAAATAAAGTTATTTTGAAGAGAAAAAAAAACAAAAATAAAATATGCATAATACCACGGATACTTTTATTTACTTTAAATTTATCGATTCAGTTACAATAAAAAAATAATATTTTACGCTTTCATCTGCGAAAGCAAAAATATAAGAAATAATTTAATGTAAATTTAATATTAAGTTATTTTTATTTTGAAAATTCTACATTTTTTAAAAATATTATTTGTAAATAAACTTATAATTTTAAAATTGAAATAGTAAATTCTTAATAGTTTAACTTTTAATAATCTTCTACATGAATTTATTAAAGTTCAACATAGTTTTTTGGTTTATAATTACTCAAAAATAATCTGGTATACTCATATTTTATAAGAAGTCTTTTTTCCAAAAATGTCACTGAAAATATGTTTTAATTGAGACTATAACTATTTAAGTTTTGTTTTAAAATAATAAATATATTTTGTTTATACTGGCTTTAGTTATCTATATTATATATTATATATACACATATTATATAAGAAATTTTATAAAATTGATGAATAAATTTTTAATAAGTATGGATTATTAATTTTTGCTTAATGAATTTTGAAGTATGAATAGAAAATTAATAACTAGTATAAAAATATGAATTACCCTATTAAAATTAAAAACATAGCTAAAGTTATATCTTTTCAATTTAAGAAATTTTTAAAAATTATGAAAAACTATTCCTTTTTTGAAAAGTACATTGATAGCAAGGCTTGTTTTTATTAGACTATAAAAAAGAAAAAAGAAAAAAAAAGAAAAACGAAAAGAGAAAGAGAGACTACTAATTATTCTAATTTGTTATGCAAATTACCAATGTATTCGCGTGGTTTATTTAAAAGTAGAAATACTCGATCAAAGTGAAATGGAAACCGTTATTCGTCCAGTAAAAAAATCAAGCAAATAAGCAATCATTATAAGTAATAAAATATCGTAACAGAAAACGATTGATTGTGGAAAAGGAAGCAGGAGGCTAATACTAAAAATAGGTGAAGATGCCGGGCTGGTAACTCCATTCACAAATCGATACAAAGTCTCTCCTTCTCCTCCTCTTGAAACAGTGGGCATCCATAAGGTGTTGGAAAAAAGTACTGGAGGCGTACTTGACGAATGCCGATTGAACCGGATCAAAGTCAGGGAGTCGCGCGAGCCCGTACCTCGGAAAAAGTCGACCAAGGTGTGCGGGTTTTCGTTCTTATATTTTCCATTTGTTACCATTTGAAATCGGGGAACCATACACGCATCGTCTTCTTATGGTTATGTGCGTCAATCCTGCCTTCCAGGCGGGCTACGACTTCCCCAAAGATGAACCTTCCAAGCGGGAAATTTAAAAGCGACGTCCGCCCTGCTAGTAAGCCTAGTCCCCTGAGCTTTTCACGGCACTGCACATTGAACCACACATACACTATAACATACATTACACGGATCTGAACTCACACTCGGTGTATTGCTCTTATCACGCGCATTCCATCGATTATCTGTTGCATTCCCGAAAAACAGAGAAATAATGCTAGATATAAAGACGAAAAGTCTGAATGCATGTCTATATAGAAAAAATAATGAGGGAAAAAGAGGGGGGGAGAGAGAGAGAGAGAGAGATTAAATGCGATCGAGAAAAAGAGACAGAGCGCGTTACCTCGACACCTGCTGTACCTTCGTTGGACCCGATCCTGCACGACGGTCTGACTGGGTCTGACACGCATACGGCCTCTCGGACTCTCGAAAGGTAGATCGCAACAAGCGAAATGGAGGGAGACGGAAGAGCCTCTAAAAAGAGAGAGTTTAGCCGCAAGAGTGGAAGGAGTTGGAAGTAAAAGCATCGCACCGATTCCGAGCCCTGTGAGTAGTAAGTGACGGTCATGATTCATGTCAGAGATTCTCGCATCTTTGTTGCCTGGTCGACAAGAAATTATTGCGCCTTTGTACACGGTCTCTTCTTTGCACCTTTAATAACATCTGTGTTCGCATATCCAATTATGTATACGCCTATGCCTCCAAATCAAACACTAATTTCACAACGATCCTTCATAATATTCGTATTGGTTTATATGGAGATACGAACATTAATATAGTCTTTCAACTATCTCGTCATCTCTAAAATCTGTAGCTAATTTAACGAGTATCGTTAAATATCAATTTTCTGCTACTGCAAAATAAGATATGTAAATTTAGATTGTGTCTGATAAAAAGTATGGACTTTGTTTTCTAGTCATCAGATACAATGACTTAACGTACAATGGCTTTACAAAAATAATACAAAATATTTACGTTACAATCATTTTTTCATACAAATCTGTTACACTTATAGATACTGAATACTTATAATCTTATTTAAACAAAATAATATATCCTGTTTTTTTTACATTAAAAAAATATATATATATATATTTGTTAAAGCCATAAGCGTTTACAGAAAATGTTTAACTAAAAAGACTTAATAAAAACTTTATGTATTCAAAAACTTAATATATTAATTCAATAATTTCGAATTAATTATCTATTTTTATGAAAAAGAATTTATTGTGAATATAAATAATGCTTATGGTTATATATCATTGACGAATCACATTGACATAGATGCATCTTTTTAATTTCTACTGATGAAGATGGTGTATTGTAAAAGTTGTCAAGAAAGTAAAAAGTTTCAAAGAAATTAAAATTATTTTAAATCGCTACATTAATACATATTCATTTATGATAAAATATTTTATTCTTAGTGTCGTAAAATAATGTTAATAGTTGAAAAATTAACTATTTTTTTGTTATATTTTAAAATTGTTAAATTATTGTAAAACATTTAAAATTCTTAAAATCAAATTTTTGTATTCAGAAAAGTATTCTGAATTTATAATAAATATTAAAACAACTCTTATAAATAACTTGTAAGTAAAAATTTTTATTTTAATAATCATATATTTTATTCCATTTTTCGTTTTTTAATTTTAAAATTACTAAAAAGAGATTTATTAATTATAAATAAATAAGTGATATTTAAATTATCATACTGTATAATTATAATGTATAAAATCTATGAATCAAATATTGAATACTTTGTATAAGATAATGAAGAATTATTAAAAAAAATATTTCTGTTACTGAAAATCACTAATTACAAAGGATATTTGTTGCAAAATTAGTGCTTTAAAAATCAAGTTCAGTGTGTTATTTTAGTATTATAATGTTTTTTTCCATCAACTTTAAAATGTAAAAATATCTTAATTCAAATATACAATATTAGGATAAGATATATAGCATTCTATATTTTTTTGAAAAAGTTAAACTCTGAATTTTATATAATTTAGTTAATTTTATATAGTATTTATTGCCAAATTAATTAACAATCTCAAAATTTTAATTTCATTCATAAAATAAGTTTTTGATTGAATTTATGGAAAATATAAGAAATACAAACATAATGAAATTATTATTATAAATTGCTGAAATAATTAATAAATATGAAATTGTGATTAAAGAATATTTTATAGTTTTCAAATTTTTTAAATTTAAGTGTTTACAATATATTTCAATATTTATGTACTATCAAACATGTACTATCAAATATATACATACATACATGTATGTATGCATATATCATATATATACATACATGTACTATCAAAATCATTTACATTATAAAACGTTTTATATATAATATAACTTATTAAATTTGTATATTATCGATTTAGGATTTTATGTACATATGTATATATTTTTTTTATATATTTATGTATATATAGACAATTAATACTTAAATTTAAACTAAAATTTTTTAATTAATTCATGCAATACTTTTACTTAATTTGTATTAGACTATTTTCTACATGAATGAAACGATAATTCAAGAAATGAAAAAAACAGAATAAATTTTATTAATATGATTAAGTATTATTTTACTGCATTATTACAGATCTACACATATAAACAAATATTCAATTATATGATCAAAATTATTGTACTTATTAAATTTGTATTACATTATTAAGTATTAAATTTGCATTATGAATTACTATAACTGGTAAATCAAAGTAAGAATAAGTTGTTTTCTAAAATTTCGATTATATTATTAATTTATATTAAACTTATAGTTTCAACAATAGTGTTAAAGACATTAAATTTTTTTAAGTGTCTTTAAAATAAATTGCACTTATCAATATCATGCAATTAATAAATTTAATAATGTGATGTTTTTAAGAGCATAAAAAATATAATCGATAGTCTCCTAAATGTAATAATAATATTAAATTCATAATATTTTTTCTGACCACGAATATTATTCTAAGTTATAATAAATTTGTAATTTGTTTTGATTAAATAACGTTTTAATTTAAATGAAGGTATAAATTAGTTAAATTATTCATTTAATGAAATATACATTTTTTATATTGAACTTCTTATAAAATATTAAAAGTTTATTTACTCACTATACTTTTGATTGAAACTCTATCATTGATATGGTATTTTTAATTTTTTATGGAAAACTTGAAAATTCCATATTTTATTTCTTGAGAAAGCATTGAAATACTTTTTTAATTTAGACAAGTAAAATATTTAAATAAAAAATTTAAGACTTCTAATTACATTTGTTTAATTAAATAAATATTGAAAATATTATCAAATAAAATATAACTTCGAAAGTCTTCATATATAAGAAGATTGAATAAAAATATAATGGAAAAGTCTGTCTCAATTTTAATACTTTCATTTATAACTTGTCAACTTACAAATTCATCTCCATTAATTGAAAATAATTATGTACACGTTATTAATATATTATTTATTTATTTCGTATTATGAAGAAATTAATTTTACATAAATATTTATAAATAACATATAACTAATGCTATATTGCCTTTAATCCACCTCAAAATTACAAGAATTGTACAGCAAATATTGAAATGTGTAGACATAGTTTTACTCTACGATTTGTAGAATAATTAATCAAATAATTATGGAAGCTTCCGTATTGCCAACATTACCAAGTTTTTTATTTTATATTATTCTGTACGTTCTATTTTCATTATATTTATATTTTTATCAGATTTCCTAGCTTACCTAGCTTTAGTTTTATAAGAGATATTTACATAACCCTTAAATATTGTTATTTATTATTAATAAACTATATTAATTTTACCGAATGATTAAAATAGTATAATTTGAAATAAAAGATACTATGAAATATAAATATGTAAACAGTATTTATTATTAATGTCCGTAAAATATTCAACAGGTTATTATTATTATTATTATTATTATTATTATTATTATATATATATATATATATATATATATATAAAATGATACATTTAATGTTAGTATTGAATTATAAAATTAAAATTGCATCTCCTTATTCATAGAAATATTTGTAGAAGTAAATCGACCAGTGCAAATTTTCAGTACTTCATTTATTCGGTTATTTCCACAGATTTCTTAGTGATTTTTACCATACTTATCATATTAATTTGATATAAAGACTTAGAAAATATAATATGCGTTTAATTATAATCTTATACACTCGAATTAATTAAAATAAATTGCAAAGATTTCTTTTTACAATTAAATTTAGAAATTCCATACCTATAGATGATTGTATTTTTTAATGCTCTATTAAACTTTTAAAATTTTCTGATACTTTCTTCAAACTTTCTGGTATTAAGTGTAAAGTAAAATAACTTTTTATATTTACTGTAATCATTTTTAAAATATTTAAATATTATAAAATATATGATTTGTCTATAAAAAATAAATATCATTTTATTTAGATTTATATTATAAATGTTTTATTACAATAATTACTGATTGGAATAATGATTGAAATATTCATAAATATGGTATTATTTATAATTTACATTTGAACACATGAAATTAAAATTTACATTTTTATACACAACATCACTTTATTGTATAAATATGATTTTAATGTTTTATTAATGAAATTTTATATGATTATGAATGAAGCCATAGAAGAATATATTCATTTTATTTTTATTGATTCAGTATTCCTATGCTACTATCTATAGATATTTTTTCATTTAATTCAAAATGGCGATATATATTACTCTATAGATAATAAAAATCATTCATTTTAATCACTTGATAAAATGCAATTTTTTGTATATTTCATGAAATTATGTATTCTTCATTGAATTTAAATTACTAAAAATTTCTTAAAATTTTTTTACGAACATTATTGCATAATACTCATTAAAGTAAAAAATTCATTAAATACTTTAAAATACATTTATAATTGTATGTTATAAAATTAATTATTTGATTTAGAATCGGTAATTAAAATCATTATTTTATAATAATAAATTCCTCTTATTATAATTATTCAGAAAAAATATATTGTGATCTAATATTATAAAGTAATCATATATAATAAAATATTTTATTTTTTGCATTTTATATGATAATAAATATATAATAATCCAAATGTAAGTGTTAAGATACATATAACTTAAAAACGATAATTATAGCTAGTTTATTTTACCCGCGTATTTATTATACCTAATTAATATTCTAAAATTCTAATATTATATTTATGTAAAAATACTTGTTATAATCATATTTAAATTTAAAAATATGCATTGAAAAAATCTTGCACACACATAAACACTCACAATCACGTACCTACGTAAGGACACACACACCAATTATTTTTAAAATTAAATATATAATATAAATATATTAAAAATGAATCATTATCGAATTTATAATTATGATTTTATTTATATATTGAAAGAAATCAATTTTCGCGATGTTGATATCATTAATGAGAATGTCGGGTTTTTGGGTTTAGAGCTGTAGAAAATGATTACAAATGGAAAACGATATAATCAAAATTTATAATTTTATTAAAATTAATATTATAAT